ATTGTATCATTTCATATAAGTATTTGACAGTTAAATAATACTTCTAGTCCTGTCTGGGTTTAAATGTATTCTCAAAGAAATAGAAAACAAAAGTATTTCAAAAATTTCGTCTTTTTAAATTCTGTACAATAGCTTTTTGTCTGAGAAATAATAAAGAAGTGATATTTTCTTTGTCTGTAGTTTATTTATTGTTACCGATTAATCAGTATTCAGTGTGTCGCTTCTTGCTGTCATTATACATGCGATGTTTGTTCTTCGTTTCAATTATAAATTATCATTGTTTCTGTGTACATGTATTGTATCTCAGTTCTCTAACCGCTCCCGTTAATGAATTCACATTGTAACTAATGACCTGTGTTACGGACCTATCTACTTTCCTCTGTTGTAGAGCAAAGATAAAACATTCATATAATTTAGTTTTATTTACATTGTGTATGAACCACTGTATGTATATATAAAGATTTAAAAAATATGAATAGAGGTGAAAACCTAACGTTGGTTACGTGTGTGATGTGATGTATGTATAAAAATGATATTCCTTATTGTGAAATAAGCGATAAAACTATCGCTCAGATAAAAAAGATAAAGATTGTATAACATGATATTAAAAAAAATCGACCGTTTAAAAGACCGTAAAAAAGGTCCGTTTTATCCCCAGATCAAATTTAAAATTGCAGTTAATGAGCATATTTTCCAAGCAATACCAAGCAGACCAAAACTTCTATTATGTGTGCCCGTAATCTATAAGTAAATACTTTTTTTTTTCAAAATGTTAGGCTAAGAGGGGGAAAGGAAAAGAAATGGTTAATTTTTATATATTTTCTTAAATAACTAGAAGACATATCTGTGAGACACGGACGGACAGACAAGTGATCCGCAAGAACACGCTGTATTTTCAGAGTTAAGTTCTTTTCATTCAGTCGTAAGGAACCCTAGAAACTAAAGTGATTTAAAAAAAAATGTGTCTTAAATGTATACCAGCTTTGACTTTTAACAGGATTAGATATAAACTCTAACTAAAATAAGCACTTTATTTCTCATTTATTGTCCAACTCATTAAACATAATTATCTTGATTAAAGTAATACTTTACTCGCAATCGCTATACTTTGTTATTTTAGGCTTTTTTCTGAACCGTTTGATAGTTTACACAAAGAAGCTTAAAAACTCAATCCATTAAGTCATTTTATGAGAAAACGATTTTCTTATCTCGAAAAATTGCCTTAACTCCCATTGTATCATCGCCACTTAAAGTGTCATTTATGTAGATTTTAAGAAAATTATAGTCAGGTCCAGATCTAATCAGGGCGAACCGAAACAATCGCCCCGTAAAGTAAACGTAGCAGAAGATCTTTTTCCTTATTTTTAGGTATAAAATTAAGTATATAAAATATTAGATAAAAAGTTACACCTTTATTCGTCAAGTCGCAAATAGCGTCATAAAACAGAATTACTAAATCTAAAAGTACGAGTGAGGACTAAGAAAAAGCACTTGATCCGATATGTCCATGATTTCAAAATAATTATTGATTTTTTATCCAAAATATATTGAAATAAGAGTTAAGAACATAGTCCAGATGATTAAAATAAGCCTTTTTCAATGGTCACGAGATTTCAAATCACTTTGATCTACACATAAAAAAATGGTTTATTGACTATTGTCGTTTCTGGTTAGGTATTTTAATTGTGTTTAATTTAGTTTTAATCAAAAAATATTTATTTAAAAGCTGTTCGGGCGCTAAGTTAAACTTTATTCTAACTTGCAACAATTCAAGACAACCGTAGATATTGTTGATCCGGGGATGATCATAGTAATATTTGACATGTAATGGCATATCTAATAAATTTGCCACGGCAAACGTGCCGAAAATATTTGCAAACCTCTTATCACACCAAATACAATTAACACCCTAGATTCGGTAAGTACGAGTAATAATAGGTGTCACGAGACATCCTACGACATTCCCTGGTCATCCCGAATCTTTGAGAGAAAGAAAAATTCCCAGATGTCGACACATGAAACGTCCCGATATCCAGACCTTAATGTGTATGCATTACCAAATATTTTTAAAATTTAATCATAGATAAAATTTAATTTAAATTATTCAATGGTTCAATTGTTTTAGTTGCATGAATGAGCAGAGTTTATATTATATTGCGTTTGTTGCAATCCGTCTGATATAAAATATGTCGTCACCGCGATCGCTGACCCCTTTGATACTCGAGCTTTTGACTTTGAGATCGTGCTTGCTTTCCGTTGAATCGTTACCCATGCATCGGCGCGTTCACTTCTATCTCGCATTTCACGTCGATCCATATGAATTCTCATAATAACTTTTTTGAGTTCTATACGTCATTGTTAAGTATTACATTCTGAAGGTTGCTTACACTTTCCATGGATGGAACAACAAATAAAATCTTAACAAATATTTTACCTAGATAAATTTATCTATCTTAGTTGCGTCTATTACCTGAAGGTCGGAACTTGTTCTGATCTATATTGTTCGTACATATAATATATTGTTACAGAAGAAGGTCTTTAGACCATGACTGGAGATAACTTAGGTAGAACGTTAATGGTGCCAACACTTTAACGAGCGATGCGTGCTTTATCACCCTTTACTTTTTAACGTTAACCGCTTAATGATTTAGTAACTACATGTCATGTTTTCTATTATTGAACTTTACTATGTAACATTTTAAAAGTATGTCATGTATCCCATCTCAGTTGCTTACGCCAAATTGAAATACAAACAAGAACCTTCTATACTTATTTGATACATCAATCGGAGGCCATCTTATCTAATAAGGAAACAAACGGTTTTTGTTAAACTAATTGTTGGAAAACATTGATATCTTTTGTTAATAAACCACATTTAACTCATTAAGTTATGTTATTTGCATATTTATATATTATAAGTGCTATTTGTATAGGAACGAATGTTTACAAATGATTTGTAAAGTATTTTGATATTATAAACGCATTCAATGGATTTTATTTATTTAGTTTTCTGGATGGGAAAGTTGCTATATTCTACTTTAATCTCATTATTTAACAAACTTCAAAGAAAACATAAGCAGGAAAACATCAAAGTTTTGGATGAATTACGAGAAGTGGAAACGACATCAGTTTATTACTTGTTTTCAGATTGATTTATCTTCTATAAACAAAAATGATTTGCATGCGTCAAGAAGTAGTATTTGTTTATCATAGATTCACTTGCGTTGAACACTTCAAGCACATCTAAATGGCTATCATTACCACTGTTTCTGTAGATTATATACTAGTATCTCTAGAGAGTTATATTTACCGATACCCTAAGGGCAGGATATCAAGACCCTTTTGAATAAGAGTAATTTTAAGATCATTTTTACAATTATCTAATAAAACATGATCTTAAAGTTCAAAACTGTGTACTTATGTAGTTATTTACGGCATTAATTTTACGGCAACATTACGGCACATTAAAAATATATTTATCACCTTCATTGCACTTGTCGAGTGCTAAACTCGTCGTGTTTCATTAGTACGCACTTATTTGACCCAGAAACTATGTTGCAAAATATTAGTGACTTCCTTTGCACTGTTTTTTTATAGTCTTTAGTTATACAAACTTTGTGTGAAAGGTGTACAGTCTGAAGACTGAAGTAAAAGATATTTTTACAGGATCTTGTTATGTATACACTTGAATAAAATCATGAATATTAATAGATGGTAATTTTTTTATTTTATTTCTAAATTGGATGGAGGTAGAACATAATTTTGTTCGATTTAGAAGGAGTCTTCATTTAATCTCTGTAAGGATAGTAATTGGCGTAGTGCTGTATGTTGGGTCCCTTCTGTACAATGTGGGTAGAGCTGAAAAAGGGGATGATAATACGGAAGTGACACCAACTGTATCACCAGCGATTGTGAGCTAGAATTGAAAACTTAGAATATTATCTCAATTATAAGTCGTCGTTAAGTCTCGTGATGTCAGTATTACGTTAAGGCAACTCCTAGAGGTATATTTGATAAGTGTTTAATTATACGGCTTCTGTTAGATAAAATGTTTTAGAATCTCTTTTTCTTGTTGGGTTGTTCTCATGCTAGGTATTTTTAAAATCGTTGTGGTCAATGCGGCGTATGGCGTTGAATTTAGACATATTTATACTAAATATTTAGTGTTTAAACTCTTACCAGACGAGTGTGACTAAGATTATTTACACTTTTATAAGTCACAAACTTTATGTACGATGGCACTTGTAAATCGTAAAATGAATCGATGAAACCCGGCACTTTGGACGTGTTCCAACTTTACTAGTTACACCTAGATATATTTTTATCATTTTAAAAATAATAATGAAATCGATGGTGATAGTATCAGATATTGTACTACGTATTTATGCAAGACAGTGGCAACTTTCCCCGCGGCCACGCGCGTTTGTGCGCGTGCGCCGATGACGGACACCGGTGTTACGAAAGCTGCAATCACATACTTATATGGTATACCTACACATGTCGTTAAGGTTTCATACCACTAGACGACAACCATTTCTAAATGTAAAGTGCAACTTGTTTTTGTATAACCTTCTAAAAATAACATGTTGTCGACAAAATAAGGACAACTAATACGTATATATACTCGTATTATTTTATCATTAGCAACGGTAAATAAGTCTCAAAATAACCATTAAATATTACTAGAGAGCACTATCACGTAGTAATTCCCTTTATCAATAATATATCTATGTAGGTATAATAATAGTAAATAATGAACGCTTGCTCCTTTAAAATTAAAAGTCTTATAGTTGTCACACAAATTGAGATATCGATTTAAATACACCTTTACATAAATGTGATTTTAGCTGTGAAGACATCAAATACTTTACGACTGTAGTACTCCCTATTTTGCAAGGTTTCATGTAACAGTCCGAAAATGGCGGAGCCGTGACTACTCAGTAGACTCAGTTTATGATTAAAGTGTTAAAGAGTTAACAAAGTTTTAGTGCAAAATTAAAATGAGTGTTGAGCCGACTTTAACTGAGTCCCCAGTGCCACTGGCATTGTCACGGCTTCAAACACGACCAGGTCGTCTACCCCGTAACCTGCGCTCACATCGTCCCAGTCTACAACTCGCTAGCTTGGAGGAGTCCGCAGATGAGTCTCCTAGACGTTACAGTGGAGACGCCTTTTCTGCGGACACGGACGACGACGAAGCCTTCAACGATGGTGCCCTATCAGATACACCGTCTATATCCACATCGAACGGACGTAGGGTATCTGATGCTACTTTCGCTGAACGGTACAGAAAGTTAAACGAATTCGATGGAGCTCCGCCGGAACCACCACGTCGAGCTTCTCTCGCTGTGCCAGGAGGAGTAGACGGTTTCGGCAACGATAAGGGCCGAAGGCGGTCTTGGGCAGCTCGGCTGCAGTTAGAGCGCAAGAAGAGAAGGAAGTCGGGCGGTAATGACACTGATGAAGAAAGTGACGCTCCCATGTACGTTCGTCAGAAACGACCATCCTGGTGGAACGTTTTTGTGCCAGATAATATGTTGAAGAACAGGTATTGTTAAATTACTCATTTTGGCATAAGTTGATTTCGTAATAGATTTAAATAAACTAACCGTATCGACCCCTTCATACAACAAACTTTTTACACGATCAATGAGATAACTGCTCTAATCAATGCAATGTGATATAATGCTCGTATTCGTTTTACGGGATTAGAATGTATATTAAGTGTGGTGCTAGGGCACAGGGTTACCTTGACCCAAAGCTTGGACTCCGATTGTGTATGTTTGAGAACTAGGTTTACAATTCTCAGGGTTATTCGACTTTGCTGGTTTAAAAAGAAACTCTTAACTCGATGCGATACATCACAAAGACTGGTTTAATGGTAATATTTTACCAAAGAAAATGTAGTCCCGAATAAATTTCTAATAGATATATTGGTATGGATAAAATGTTCTAAAATACCTTATTATCCAGTAATACGATACTTGAGTATTTTTATTCAGATCAAAACGACGGAACTCTATAATGTATAGTTTTTATACTTGTGAATAGATATGATGTATGGTACTCGTTTATAATGATAACTCAAACCCTCCCTTACATCAGATCGTAATCGCTGTTACGTTTTACGTCTGTTGTAAGAGGCGGTCGCCAATGACAAAAGGCTTCTCGAAAATTTCCACTAAGAGTGTAAAAAATGTTTACGCAGTTTACGTGACAAGTTAATAAGTATACATATATTTTGATCTTGATAAATCAGTGGCAGAACGCTATCTAGATTTATATGTATATATATTATTATTATATAACTTTATCATTATCACAATCAACGTCTTGCCTACTATATTGTACAAATATTTGCAGTATTTATGATTTTTAATGTGATTAATAATAAAACCACCGAAGCCTCTTTCAAGTATCTTTTAAACCTATTGCTTCGTTTAATGTTTACTTTTTAGTAGATGAAAGAGTTTTATGGCACTTTCGAAAACATGTCTATTAAATTGTAAAATGATGAATGTGATTAGGTGACTGTGTTAAGAATGGATAAAAAAATCAATAGTTTTAGGTTCCCATATTTTCGTTATAATACTATACACGTGATCTCCGTATTTAGAGATTGACCGTTGGAGATAATAGAAAACTCTGTCAAAGCTTTTGCGTTGAAATTTTCATGAAGTCGTCATATAGATTATAAAAAAGGTTTATGGTAGATTGCCAATGACCAGTCATATATAATAACTAACAAGCAGTTGTTGCATATTGTGTCGCAAACATTAATTTACCACGTTTTCGCAGCAGCTGAGAACATCACTTATCGTGACATACTAAGCCGCAACGATCACGATTTCATGTTTTAATTTTTTAACACTTCCATTCGTGTAATAATTGTAGAAGCTACCGGTTATCGTTTTAATGTAAAGTACCGATAAATTTTTTAGATATTATCGCCTTCGGATGTGATTCAAATTCCCATGGATTAAGAGGATATATAGTACAAAATGATTGCGATTTTAATGTGTACCTTAAAATTAAGATTCTATGTTAACTGTTTCGACAAGATCACAATAAAACTATCGTATTCCTTCTGTGCTTGTGACTAAGATTTGTCTAAATTGTCCATGAAACGCTAATACTTCTCCATTATTGAAATTTAATAAACACCTTTGTTTACCAGTCTGCAAGCAGGAGATCTAAATATTATGACTCTTTATCGTGCACAAAATAAACATACGCAATCATTTGTAGCCACTGCAATCAAAATTATTTTTTGTACCTACACATACATTATGTCGAATATTATTAAATTTAATGTTTCGCAAATGTATATACTTAATTTCCTTTTGGTCGATTGCTGTTAGCCTTAGCTTCGACCGTGTAACTATTATATTAGCATGAAGTAATATTTGATCACGATCTCTTTGGCTCATCTATACCAAGACGTGTGAAATTTCCTCGAATATAAGTGTGTTTCAATGTATAAGTACGCATGTGTAAATGTATATCAATCGGTTTCACCTTGACTTGCCTGCTTCCAACTTTTATTTATGCTATATCTACTTTTAAGGCTTTACACAGAGTAGTCTATTACGATAACAATCCTTCAAATATTTTTACAATTATGTCTATACCATAATATCCACAAAAATATTGTTTCTTAGACATAGCACATCTGTATTTAATTTGAATGTAAGCCATGTTGTTTCAAACTGTTAAGGTATGCTCTTGTTGTTTGTGTAAGAGTAAAAATAGTCATGTACAAATATAAAGCCATAATTATTATTACTATTAAAATTATTAACATCAAAAGCAAGTCAGTAGGACGCCTCTAATTTACACATGAAGTTTATTGTGATCGATCAATTTATTAGAATTTGTATTGACCTTAAAGGCTTCACAGTCCACCCACATAAATAAAATGTTCCGTAATAAAAATGATTGTCGGTTTAGGTAGGCGTTAAACGTACCTAAACATTTTAGTTTTGTTTTTACTCAGACGGAAATCTGTAAGTATTAAAATTATTAAATATGCTTGTCGCCTTTATACATCGGCGGAGCTGTACTACGTCATAGTACAAGGCGGTTTCATCTTACCCGCGACGCTGTGCTGAGCAGTGTGCAGCCTCCACATAGCTTCCGCGATGGTGCATTCACCTTTGAATTTGTGTATCACAAGATAAACCTTTGTCTTATGTGTTAAAGCAGTGTAGTTCACACCTACCGCTCTATAAAAGTGAAGAGAGTTTTGACATTTCATGGTATCGAAAGCAGATGGATACGTTCCGAGTTTAAATGTGATAGGAATTTTATCGACTTTAAATTATAGTTTAATATCCCATCAAAATTATAATTTCATACGCGTATAACTTACGGCCACATCTTTATAGAACATCTAAACATTGATTAATTGCCTCTGTAATATAATCTAAAAATAAAAGTAATCCAACGGTACAAGTTACCATGTTTATGTATCTGTTCACAAGTGTTTTGCCAGTACTAATTTGAATTGATTTGAAAATGGTACTATTATATTAAGTATTCAAAGTTATTTCGCACTTCATACCTACAATTCCTATCTAAAAAAAAAAGTACAGAAATAACGGTATTTAGTAGCGATGCCACGGTTATTCGGCAACTATTCGATATTCGGCTATTCGGCCATTTTTTCCACTAGTATCTCTAATATTTAATATTTGTAAGATTAATTCAGGACTTAAAAAAGTACATCTTTACGATCTCGCTTAAAAGTTTTTTCATTTTTAAATGCACTAAAATTGATACCAGAAAATGTATAATTAATATTTATTGTCTGACACATTATAACATACTAACTGCCCCCCGCAACTACGTCTGCGTCTCTCAAAAGGAATAAAAGTTATCACCGTTTTTTTCTTCAAACTCTTCAACTTTATAATATTAGTATGTATGCATGTATGTTAATAATTTTACATGTCTTTTCGTAACAGTAGTTTGTTGCAGTAGCTAATAGTAACAAAGCCAATCCTCACTAGAAGAACACCTAGTTATTTACATTAGGAAGTAAGGTGTATGGAAATACTTAACTATAATGTAGATCAATTCCAAGTTCAGGAAGTTGATAACATTAACCTTTAGACTTTGAAATAAACCAACTGACCGAAACGACCTTTCTGCTCTTCTACAAAAATTAGTTTATGGCCCAGCTTTGCTTCTATGAAATCAATGACTTAGCAGTGTACCAATAATGCCGTGATAAAATACATCTGTGTGTCATGTGTATTTTATAACACTTAGATGTCTTATTTCGATCTTCTCTTTATAATATGGCCCATATTTAATTTATTGCATAGTGCTCCGCTAAATTTGTTTTGTTGAACTTAAGTATTCATTATTGCCGCCTCTCCTGTCTTTACAAGTATTGATGCGAGCCCCGCTGAAGTTGATGATACCATGTTTTGTTTTTTAAATGGAAACCTTGAAATGCAATGTGATTTATATTTCAAGGTTGGCCGACAGCCAGAAGTCCACGCGGTCAAGTCGCTTCCCTACTAAATCTTGTTGTTATTAAAAACTATTCGAAGACAAAAACAAGCGTCTCGCATTTGTCTCGCACTGTTCTGTACTGCCAGTTTATACTGTTGAAGCGTAATATTTTCCGAACAGCATCTAAAGTTAGTAACAATAACACTCTTGAAAAAAAGTAAAGGAAATTATATCATGTTATTCTGTAATAACTATACATAATATAAACCTTCCCCTTGAATCACTTTCTCGATTGATGAAATCCGCAGCAGTAAGCGACTTCATTTTATACTATGTAAAGGTTTTTGCTTATTAATGAGGTACAATGAGGATTGCGAATCATATTTCATTGTTGTTGTTTATGTGTCATAAGTACATTTTCTTTTCTTGTTGTTACTTTGATTTTGTTTAGAGAACAACAATCATGCAGAAGAGCACAGGACTTACATACGTTAATGTTTCACAATGATGCCCTCTTTATAAATTTGGTGAAAAGTGGCCACATTATGGAGGGAACAAACCAAATAAACAGGAGCCAAAGGCTTACGTATAAAAACATGAGAACAATCGCGTGTTCAATTGTTTTTGTTTCTGAGTTTTTTTTGTACTAAAACTTACAAACAAGATTTATCTTATGGAAAATAGCATTTAAAACCTCAACAGTAAAACATGTATAATCATATTGCAGTGCAGAGAATATATCGTACATTTAATTTAAAACGCAATGTGGCAATGACAGTTATGTGCGGTGCATACATTCTTGATTATACATATAGTTAAGTTTAATACTTACATGTTGTAGTCACCAAGACCAGATGAAACAGCAAAACAAGTTTACAGACTGAAAACCCATTCAAGATTTTGCGGTTCATTACACTAATCATAGCCTGCATTTTTATTGAAATTGAATCAATGTTACTTTCGACTGAAATGAAATTATACACAGAAATAAGTTGATATGCTAGTAACAGGTGCAAGAAAATTTTAATATGGAAAGTTTATTTGGAACGCTAAAATGTAAATGCTAAAATTAGCTATTAGTCAGCA